TCCCCAGCCAGCATGCTGGCTGGGGAATTCTGGGAGTTGACGTCCACACATCTTAAAGTTGATAAGGCTGAGAAACACTGCATCAGACTGATGAAACCTCATAATTCACCCCTACCTGCCATCAGCTGGGACCGACAAAATTTTATTCAGGCAGTGCCTCCCTTTCCCAACGAAACACAATGTAATGGTGCCCCCTGGTGGCAAAGGACAGTTTTGTTGCCAGCTATTACAAAACTAAAAATGCATGAAATTTAGCTCATGAAAGGACATCCAACATACACAAAGCTGGCAGCTAACTGATGTTGGCTCATCAACATTTTAATTAAGATGTTAAGCTAAATGGTGGTGCTGTCCTCAACATTCATTTATTGGGGGGAGGAAAAAACACATAGGACATCACCACCACGACTTTTTTTTTTCAACCTAATGCTTTTCCCACAGATGCAAGGGCCGCTTTTTTTTTTTTTTTCCAGATCAACCAAATGTTGATCCGTTGGTTGCACCCACTAGCTGTCACACTAGCCTGACATAGTGGGCTGAGAGAAAGTGACTGGCCCAAAGTCCCCCAGCTGGCTTTCATGCCTAAGGTGGGACTAGAACTCACCATCTCTGGCTTTCTAGCCTGGTGCCTGAACCACTAGACCAGACTGGTTCTCATCACCACTGCTACATGGAGTTGTGCTTCAGCCATATCTGGAGCACCAAAGGTTATCCATCCTTAATTTAAGATGATATTGGTATCCCCACCGCTACCTATATCATCTTAAATTAAAGATGGGTAATGTTTGGTGCTCCAGATATGGCTGAAGCACAACCCCCAGCGTCCTTAAGAAGCCTGGCCCAATGGTAAGGCATGCCAAGAGTTGTAGCTCAGCACACCAGGAGGACCACAGATTCCTCGCTTCTGCTTTACATGATTCACTACTGCCTAAACCAGCTTTTCCTGCTACCTTGGCCTCCAAATGTGTAAGACTAACCTGGGAATATCAGGAGCTGTAGTCCAAAACATCTGCGGGTTGGGGGTGCCTGGCCACTACTTTGTCTAGAGCACTGAATTTATTGTAACTGAAGCTGCTAACCCACAGATTTTGAGAACTCTCTTTTTCTCATTATTTCCAACTTTTTCAGCTGCTGCAATAAATATAGGAAAATTCTGATAGTTCTTTCGTGTATTTTAGAAAATGAAAAGGCTAAGTATTTACCCATGTAACCTGGAGCCATAATGGTGGAGCAGGATATGAGAGGTGTGCAAAATAGTTCAGATCGGAACTGTTCTGTATTTGAAAATGCCTGTTATGAGTTTGAAACAGCTGTCTTGACTGCAAATGAGGGTATTTTTATTGCTTCGGAGGTATTTTAAGCTTGAAAGAATAGCATAGGCTGTTTTACACTCAAACTGACAGTTTCAGATTTGAAATGTGTCTTTGAAATGGAAGCATTTACCAAATCCCTCAAAATGTGAATTACTTAGCTGATATTGAAGTAAAACTCTACTTTCTGGGATTCATACGATAGCAGCACTTACATGAACATAATGAAAAAGCATGTTCCAGCATGTGCTGAAGAGTTTGTCTAATCACTGTGTATCAGTAACTAACCACTGTCATCTGGATTAAGGAGGAAAGTCTTTTAATAAGAGAATATGACTCCTTGGCTAGCTTGGGGATCAACTCTCCATTACTATGGCACAAAGATTAAAGTTGTATAAGATTTCTGATCCAAGACTTCTTTTTCTTTGGAAAATATTTATTTATTTACAATAATTATAAGTTGTTTTTCAGAGTTTTTTAAATTGAGGTGGCTCCCAATGCTAATATGAACATAATGAAGTATCAAAAGAAACTGATCTGTAACTGAAAACATACATACATACACACATACATACATATTCAGTTCATTCCAGCTAATCTATACCTACATATCTTGACTTAAGGAGTAGGGATGACCACTGGGGGCTGTAGGATTTATATGGACTAATTCAGCACTAGAATAAATTTTCTGTGCCCAAACTCAATCCCGAAAAGAAAGCAATGGTTTAGACAAGAGCTTCTAAGCTTCCAGGGAACGTGTTCTCATCATCATCTGAGTAAATACAGCTTGTATTCATCACAACTCCTGGGCAGTTTGCAGAGGGGAGTTTCTTCTAAGCTGTTTGGATTCCCAAGGCTTGGGTAAATATGCCTGTTCACTTTCTGCTCTTTTCAGACCCTGAGTCCAAGTGCCTCCATTTTGGAAACTCAGCAGTGGTTGCTTAAAAACAGGTTCTCCAATTATTCCCGGGTTTTTGCCAGCTACACAGGTGAGACTTTTCTCTCTCTCTCTCTCTCTCGGGTACAGGTGCCAATAAACTCATCCGAGTGTGTGCAACCTTGCACTTTTGCATTTTGCCGAGGCCAATATCTTTTATGGCGTCCTAAATCAGACCATAAAAAAACCCCACACACATTTGTTAAGTGTGGGGAAACATCCCAGTTTTCTCCAGCATTCCTTAAATTATGAGAAAATACCTACTATTCTGAACTGATTGTAGAGGAAGGGGGAAATATCAAAGCTGAATTTAAATTGCAAGTTTCTTAGGCTAGATGTTTTTCCTTTTTCCTTTTTTCTTAAGTTACTCTGCAAAGCTCCATAGATATTGATTATGCTATAAAAATAATAATGAAAAATGGGCTCTGTCTATCCCTGATATTGGAAATATGAAAAAAGAATTCTAACTACATTAAGGATCATGATGGGTCAGAATGAATGTAGTGAAATGAACATTTATTCAATTTTGCCATGCCCTCTAAAAATTATCTACAGTCTCTCTCTCTCTCTCATCTATCTATATCATCATCTAATTTCTATCATCTATCCATCCATCTATCCATCTGTCCTTTTCTTTTCCCAATCAGTGGATTGCAGATTTTAGCAGCAAATTCCAAATTCTTTTCTTCTCCCATAGGAACTGATTTGCTCAAACTCTCGCGCACTGACCTTGTACAGATCTGTGGAATGGCAGATGGAATCAGACTTTCAAATGCTCTAAAAGCTAGGTATGGAGTTATAAACAAAGGTAGTAAGCTTATGGACTGTTTAAAAAAAAATCTCAAAACATTATGAAAAAAGAGAAAAAATATTGCGAAAGAACAAAAATTTGCACTGGATGCCAAGTGGTTACTGGGCACAATTTAAAATTTAAACCTTTAAAGCCACAAATTACTTAGGCTTTGAGTGCTTAAGGGACTGTTTCTCCCATTATTATTCTGTCCAGTTGTTAAGATTAGCAGGAAAGTTACTTTTGAAAATGCTCCTGTTGTCTGAGACTCATCTTTCTGACTTGCAGAAAAGAGCTGTCTTCCATGTTGTTTCCAAACTATGGAGTACACAAAGCATAAGACCAGCATGTGGTCCCCAGTCTCTCAGTGTTTAGGAAGTTCATAAAGAAACATTTCTTGGTCCAGGCTTTTAAATCTTAGTCTCTCCTCTGCTTTGCTCAGACCTCATTTGGAATATGGTCTCCAGTTCTGGGCACCACAGTTCAAAAAGGGGAGTGACAAATTGGAATAAGTTCCAAAGTGGGGTACCAAGATGAAGAGTGTGGAAACCAAGCCTTAGGAGGAATGGTTAAAGCAGGGTTCCTCAACCTTGGTGACTTGAAGATGTGTGGACTTGAAGTCACCAAGGTTGAGGAACCCTGGGTTAAAGGATCTGGAAATGTTTAGAAAAGATGACTAAGGGGAGATAATGATAGTGGTTTTTTAAAAAATCTGGTCACCCCAAAGAAGGAGTGAGCAATCTCTATTGTCGCAGGAGACCAAAGAAAACTAACAGAGCAGTCCATGAAGTCACCAAAGGTCAGGCTTGAGCTTTTCATATAAATACATGGTGAAATGTAAAATCAAGCCTACCCCATTCTCAAAATAAGTATTGTTGTGGTTCAATGATTACTTGAAAAGAAAACCAGAGCCGGGGGTTAACTATAAGGACGGACTTCAGGCCAGACATCACAAGGAACTTCCTGACTATTTGAGCTGTCAGCTAGTGGGACAGGCTGCTATAATGATTTGGTGAGTTTTCATGCACTGCAGGTCTTCAGAGGTGGGACAGTCCTCTCTGAGACATGCTCTGGTCTGGGGGATCCTGCACTGAGCAGGAGATTGGACTAGGATTACCTCCCAGGTAGCTTCCAATTCTATGTCTTTAGCAGTAATTGTTATTTTAAATCTGTATTTCACTTCTCATACTCTGTTTTACATCCTGTTAGCTATCTTGAGTGCTTGTCGGAGCATAACAACTGAATCTAAATCAAATAAATAATTCCCCATCTCCCCAAAGTAACTTTTTTTATTTGGAGCTTTTCAAAAGCAGCTTAGGGAGAATAGCCAAACACCAAAGAGGATTTGGCTCCTTAGTCTGAGAATTGAGAAGAGGTTGAAAATCCTTTTTCTATCAGGCTGTTAGATATGTAGGAATTTTGTCCTTTTTTGTATCTGGCCATCCTAAACTTGCAGTGAAAATATATGTAACACCGGTGAGGTTGAAGGCATAGCTCACCCACGGACATTAAGCGACCATGTGACTGAAGCCCCGCCCTTTTGCCTGAATTATGAAAGGGGTGGGGCTTCACTTTCACAGTTTTGGCCGTTATCTTGACTTTTTAGACCACCCTCCCCGCAGACTCCCCTACCATCAAGTGAGTTCACGGCTGGTGAGAACTTTCTAGCTAATCCTTGAAATCATTTCGTCCTGCCAGATCTTGGTAAATCACAGCAAGTGACTTGACTTCCTCCTCTTTTCCCAGGTCTGTGCGCCCTCGTCTCATTCTTTATGTGTCCAAGGAATTGGAAACAAGTGGGAACAATGCCTCCCCAAACCCAGCATCTGGTAAGTCAGAATTATTTCAAAAAGGTGATCCTTGGACACCTGTGCATGCCTCCCAGCAAGCAATCCAAACACGTCTCCGTTGATTTTCGTTCTAGAAGGCATTTTAGCCACACATTCTGTTGTGACGCTACTGCACATTTTTTAAAAATCGCAATATTGCAAGCTATGTTTAAGTTCCATTTAACATCAGCAGCTTTGAACTGCGGACAACTCTGGAATTCTCCAGCAAGTTACAGCTGTCTTGGGGGACGCTTTCCCTGTTCATGAAATGGTTCCCGGGTAGGTGTGGCTGGTTGCAAAAACACTAATTTACCAAGAGGAGAATCGATCAAAGATACTCCCATTGCTCCTTCTGAGTTCTGAGTTTTTCTTGCCAGATGGGCATAGTTCCAAACAAAGCACCAAACCATTTTCTAAGAATGCCCAAGGGATTCATTTAGGACTCAGAGGCATCCTTGTAAATAATGAGGATGCTGGAGGCTGGTGTTTTTACTCTGCAGCATGCCAGGTGGTTCGGTTTCTTTCTTCTTGTTTTGATGAAAGAGTCTACAAAAATTAAGATGAGGTGGAGGGTGGCAAGGCTGCAAGGGAGGAATTTGCAGGCACAAAGGTGCCCAAGGGAGCTGTGCTGCTCACTTTGGGGACTACAGTCTCTCCTTCACAACTTTTAAGCACTGATGGCATAATTTTGTTGTGTAAATTGAGGGTAACCTCTTTTTTTTAAATGTATTTTTTTTTAAACTGCACATTTTTTCATGCATTGATGCTCCTTCCCCAAAGTGATATACCAGGAGTTATATCTGGAAGAACTGACTGCCACGGAGCTGACTAATAAATTGGCAGAACTGCTTAGCCTCCCAGTCAATCAGGTCCAGCAAGTTTCCAAACAGGGGCCTACAGGAATTCACATCCTCGTCAACGATCAGGTACGGAGGAGCCTTCTTTTAAGAATGAGCTGGGACTCACTTATTCAGCCTTAGCTCTCAGAAACACAAAAGGCAGAATCCTTCTCCCCAAGGATTAAAGAATAGAGATTGGAAGATCACAATATCATTCTTGCAGCATTCTGGCCCTGCACTGGCGAATCTTTGCTTAGCGCTGCAGGGTTCTGGCCGCAACAATCACATCTGCTGATCTTCAAACTAGAAGAGTCCTGGCAGTTTCATAGCACCCCTATCTCCTTCGATAGGGCAGGCAGCATCGCGATTTGGACCCTGTAGCCAATCACTATTTGGAAGGTGTCTTCGGTGCTGTTAGCCTCAGCAGTAAGCTTAGTGGTGGAGAAGCTTTTTCAGCCATTTGTGTCTCCAGCTCTTTTTCTTGAAGAACTAAGCAGGATTTAGCTAGATGTGTTTTGCTATTTATACAAACATGGTTAACTGGGAAGAATAGTTTAATCCCTAATAACCCCAAAGCTGTTTTGGATTAAACTAACCATCTCTTGCCCTCTGCTGACTTCTTTGTTCAATTGTTCAGTCAACACACTAGCATCTTTTGTGATCTCTGCCAGTATTTAACTTTGGCCGACACCAATGGATTGGCCTTTTCCCCCCATATAGTAAATTGTAGCAGTTGAGAATGGATTATGGTCATATATGATTAAAAGGACATATTAAACAGGCATTGCTTGAAACAGACCAGACCACAGTCTCAGCTACTACATTACCCTAGTTGGTAGAATTTCAGGTTGTGAAAATATAGAGCAGTATTCCCATGTCATGCCCTTCTGATGCTCTGGAATTCAACCCCCACAATCATCAGATAATCACCAGCATATCTGGATAACCCCAGGTTCAATGCAAGGCCCACAGAACTAACCCGCACAATGCGACCTAGAATGAGCTCCAAATGGTTTAAGCAAGTGAACTAGCCAGTGGGGGTGGGGGAGGAAGTTAAGGGAGTAGTAATATTTCTCATTTACATAGCACGTACCCAAGTGTTCGAAAGCATACTATACAAAATCAGCATAGGTATGACTCACAAGTCCTACAAGTAGTATGCTTAGTAATGGAGACAATTCTGAGTAAGCGCTAGAAAGTACGTACGTATGTACGTATTTATGAATGAACGAATGAATGGTTGATTTTGCCTTGGAAGCCGTGAAATCTGTTTTCACAATTTCACAAGTTATTCTATGAGTTTGAGAACTGGGGGGAGGGGACCATTGTTTCTATTGATTACGTCCTGATAATGTGAAGATGTTTGTGCAGATTTAGCCAAACAGCCTTTTCAGATTGTCTTCTCAATATGTAATGAACTTCTGAAAAGGGTTATCGGTCTAATCCTGCCTTCCCCAATTTGGTTCCCTTCATGATGGCTGGAAATTCTGGGAGCTGCAGTCATAACACATCTGCCTCTTTGCATTAATTCCATCTGCTCTGCATCTTAAAATAGTTAAAAACTGTAGACTGGGGCTTTATCATCATGCCCTAGGGAGATGGAAGAGTTCTGGGTAGCTCAAAATCCATGTGCATGACTAATGATTTAGTTAGTCATAAAACCTCAATTTTGTTTTGGGAAGTTTTTTTCTTATGGACCAAAATAGCTACCAGTGATTTTTATAGATTATCTTCAGATAAAAGGATGCCATCAATCCTGAAAGGCAGGCCAGTAAAATGTCCCTTGCTTTACTGCAGATTGCTGGGGCTGAAAAAAGACTTCTTGCCCAAGGCTGCTTTGTCAACTCTTGGCAGAAATGAGATATGAGTTGGAGATTTTCTAATTCACAACTCACCTTGGTTTTCTTGACTTAACCATAATTGGCAGGGGTCACACAACATGCTAAGCCACAAGAACTGAGTTCACGTAATAAGGAAGCCACATTGTGACCTAGTGAAACAGTCACTTTGCTACTCCCTTTCTTGATCCTGAACCCTGGGTCCCAATTTTAGTGGGTTTTGGTGAGCATGCTTGGACTTTTGAGAAGATGTGAATTCTCTGGTAAATTGGCAGCCATGGAGGGGGCTGGCTAGGGGCAGATGGGGAGGTCGCTTGCTTGTTCATTGTAATTGGGGACCCTGCCAATGATAACGAATACTATCTATTCCCCTCTGCAGGTCACTCCCATTATTTATTTTGCCTTTTTTCTATGCAAGTGAACGTATTTCCAAAGAAAGCACTTAGATTGTAACTATCCATTATTTTTATTTGTAAAGAAAGCTTATGGGACAAGTTTGGGTACCAGAAGTATTTGTGGACAAAAAGATGAAGCTGAAGGCTCATGTTTTGTTCTGCAGCAAACCTATATTTTTTTAAATTAAAAGATTGTTTAAAAGTGCAAAAAGGCAAGGTGGGACCAAGCTCCTCTCAGGCTCTGAGAGGTGATTATAGCATATACACGGTAGTACCCACAGATGCCATGTTGGGGACATACAAACCAAGTATGATATTTTGGCTCTAAATAAAAAATGCAAGTTCTGGTCATTCAGCTGTTCAAAACTGTACTTTGCTTAAGCTCAGAAAGAGTTACGCTTTACACAATCATTTATGGGGATTCTCATATTAACAGATTTTTGGACAAACTAAATTACGTACCTATTAAGTCCTTTTCCCCAAACATTTCCTGGCCTTTTATGGCCCATCTTTTTCTATGTACAGATGCACACCTGTTATATCCATGCCACTGGCTTTTATTCCTCCTGACAATCCTGCTTTGCCATATGGCCATCTGTTGCTGAGCTCTCTTTTTAAAATCAAACCTGGCAACTCACAGTTATAAACAAAACAAAAAGCAGGCATTTAGGAGTCTAGCCAAGAACTAACCTTGCATTGTTCTCTCCCGGGTTATCACAGATGGTCAGAAATCTTCCAGATGAATCATGCTTTGTAGCGGCTGTAACAAAAGGTAGGTAAGTCTGCCTGTGAAAGGAGGTGGTTTCTGGCTCCTTAAGGACTGACAGATTTATTGGGGCATGAGTGTGTGTAGACAAGAACTCATTATCCAATTTTGGATATACTCTCAGTTGCCGAGGTGTGCATGTCACAGATTGGACCCAGATTTCTACTCCAGAAGTGTGGTTTTTGTTGGCAAGAAGACTGAGATAGTCTGGAGATGTCCAAAAATTCCTTCTTCATTTGGTGGGCCCCACTACCTTCCACTCTCTTCTAGGATGTTCCACAAGGGCGTAGGGAGGAGGAGAAGGAATTAGTAAAAATTATTTCCCTACAATACAAACCATACAGCTTCCAGCCAGAGCATCCAGGAAACAGTTCTTGAAACCAGGAGGCGGTATTCCCCCCCCCCCCCCCCCCCC